TATATATATATATATATATATATATATATATATATATAAATATATATATATAATATTTTGTCAGCCCACAAGCTAACGACTATAGTGTCAATTGGCTGAGATTTTGAATCTGGGCTTGATCCCATAGTCACAATCTCATTTCGTATTTGAATTTTTATTTTTTTTTTACAAATCCAAATCACTTGAAATGTTTATTCTTTAAAAATAAGAGAATCTAATAAAAATGTAAAAAAATAATATGAAAAAAATAAATAAATCAAAATAACTTTAAAACTTTTCAGGGGTATTTTGATAATTTTATATTTTGTGAATTATTTTTATCAGGTGTACCTTGATGAGAAGAATGAACGTTTAAAATTTCAAGTGATTTGGATTTATAGAAAAAAATAAATGAAAATTCAAATATAAAATGAGATTATGATTGTCAGATCGGTCGAGATTCAATTTGGGCCGTTGGTTGACACCGTAACTGTTAGCGTTTAGGCTGACAGGGTCCACTCCCTATATATATATTTAATATAATATATTATATTACATATTATGTTTTGTTATATAATATATTTTATGTATGTAATAGATATTTACAATATAATATATTGTTTTATGTCTAATATAAAAATAATATTTAATATATAATATTTAAATAAGCATGACTTTATATTCGAACAGGTTGTCTAACCCAACCCAAGTATCTAGAATTTCTTTAACATTCCAGTAAGTTATCAAACATATACACTTAAATTCTTAAAATAACTTCTTTCTTCCTAGCAACGAAGAACTTCCAATTTGCAGGGGATATTTACCTTCCAGTTATTAAATAGGCCCTCAGGGTACGTTTGGTTCGTGTGTAAATATTCTTTGAAAAATATTAATATATGTAAATCGTGTTTCATACATTTGGTTCGTGCAAATGTACACACAAATAAAATGTCTCTTATGCGTAACTTTCTTTGGGGTTTTTATAATGATAATCGTAAATACTATTTGGTAGGTTGGGATAAAGTGTGTGCCCCTAAGTTGGAAGGGGGCTTGGGAATTTGCAAGGTCAAGCTAGTGAATCAAGTTTTACTTGTAAAGTGGTGGTGGAGGTCGATTGTGGGAGGAGATAAGCTATGGAAAGAGGTGTTACTGGCTAAATATGGAGCAGATTAGGCTGGCTTTATTGGGAAAGGTGGAGGAAGTAACACACGGTCTCAACTAGAGGTGGTCATGATAAGTGTAAGGTGAGAGGTAAGGTGAGAGGTTGGGAGGGGCTCTTCGGTTGAGTTCTAGAATTATAAATGGCTGGGATTTTAAAAGTGTGTGGCCATGGGGCTTTTAAACGTGCATTATTTCTCACTCTTATAATTTACTGTTTATCACTAAAAAAGAGATGTTTCTTAGAGAGAGAAAGTACTGTTATCTAACGGCTAAAAAGTAACTACCCACTTTTCAGGATTACAGGACCATGTGCTCTCAGACATTTTAGGAGGAAGTCGAATGTTGGAGAACAACTTCCTCCATCCCTCGTTAAAAAGGGTTTCATGGCCATGGAGAGGGACACAAAAATTTGTAGAGTTTTCACAGTTCTGGTAAAAGCTTGATCTTTGACATCGATAGTTTCAAGATACTGCCCTTAATCTTAAGAGTGGGTCCATCTCTTCCCTCAAGTTTTTCAACACCTTAAAAGTGCAATATAGATAACGTTTTGATAAATATGTTAAATCAATCTTTGAAAGTGGAAGATAATGTTTGTGCAGATAGAATTGTCTGGGATATTTGGTTTAGCTATAATAGGGTGCCTGACAGTATCCTAGCACAGTTCTGCGATCTCTTGAGGGACATATCTACATATTATGTATCACGTGAATTTGATAATGAGGAGATTTGGGAGCTTTCGAATGATGG